TAAAAATAAAAGTAAATTGATATTGGCTGGTGCTGAAACAGATCTCAGTCATGACAGCTACACTTACTCACATAATCACTTCCGCTTAAGTGATTGTGCCTCCAAAATAAAAGCGCCAGGAATTTTTTTGCAGCAATGCCTTGTGTCGAGTTTATGGAGAGCTTTTACTTTGAAGAGTTCTGAAGGACATTCAAAAGAGACTCTGGCTTGCTTGACCCACCTCTGAAAAAGCCGTCAGTAGATGTGTGATTGGATTCCACTGACTTTGAAATGAAAATAGGCGTCCGTAGATTCATGAATGCGGCTCAAACGTTGGAACGCATACACACTGCAGCACATGCTTTATTGTCAGCATGTGCAAACGTGTCCTTATAATCAATTTGTTTACCAAGGGAGAAAAAAGTATCCGCAGCTAATTGAAATCGATCATACAACCTTCATTATCATTTCCACATATATATATGTTGAGTAAAAATGACTTATTATTACATTTTCTCATAATTGTGTGGGCATTCTATGACCATATTAAAATGAAAATGGAAAATCTGCTTAACATTTCATTTTCAAAGTCATTCAAATTTGAAAATGCAATGTAAGCCATCTATTTGTACATATTACATATAATGTAATATGGCTATGTATGTCTCTTATGTCATACTGCTTGGAGCAATGCTACTGCTGTCCAGGCTTCTTTCACATCCACTGTTTCCTATGCAGCTCATCAGGCCTTTCTAACATCCACACTAATAAAGAGAACTCGTCTGGACCTGGAGGAGGTTGAATGCTGGATGCTACCTTTAACCCTGCAGACTCACAGATTTGACACGGTCAACCAACATATTTTGAGTTACTCAAACTCTCCCTACAACTGTGTACAAGTGTGTGTGTGTGTGTATCCGTTGCTGGTTTATTTGCTGAAACTAATGCAATCTAATTCAGTGTGAGAACCTTTTCAGTAATGTTATTTCAGGCTGACTGGCAGTTCTTGTATCTAGAATGTTAGTTATGTACTGTAACTCCAGATTCTAGTATAGGCGGAGACCTCTGAGGGTATTGCTAATGGCTTTATCACACAGGCACGATTGGTGTGCCAGTGGTGCTATATCATCGACTTAAAACATGTTTTCAGGAAAGTATTAACATTGAAACCAATGTTAATCTCTCTCTATCACAACTCTACAGACTAGTGGTCAGATTGTCATAGCTGAATATACAGCTACAATAATAATAATAAACATTGGCTATAAATAGGCTGAAACAAATGCTTTGATGCGATTTGACTGAAAAGACTTTTGCAAAGGATTTTCAGTGAACATCATGAACATCAGTGGACCAGAAGTAGTAGGCCTTGTATGCAGTATTGAAGTAAGTTAGGCCTACTTCCTTTTGTAAATGTTTTCTAGTCACTCGTGCAGCACTGAGTAGCTGTTTTTCTTTCAAACAGATACAGTAAAACTATGAACAGAAAAATTCTTCTAATTCATTCTCATTCTTCTAATGAGTTCCACAGAGAACCTGTTCTTGCTGAGAAAATGCTAATGAACTTGAATAATTGTAAAGGGTGGTGTGAAAAGAGACTTTGGCTAAAATGTTTGTCATTGTTTGCTGTAATACTATCCAACAATGAAAACACACATAAATAATATATGTACAAATATTTCTAAATTTAATTTTTATGATTGGTCAGTAAATGTATTTATGTATTTTAATAATCAAATGTGTTCTACTTATATCTCCCTTATCTCTTATTAAATAAATGCTGATGTGGCTGACTGTCTATCCTCAACCTTAAAAAACAAATCATACATAATGTAGACATCATTTACATTGTAACAATATTTCTTAACAAATAGGCAGCATATGAAATCCAGCGTGATCAATCAGAAAATTAGTATGGTTTAATTAAATCATCACACCGCCTTGACATGCTGTCACGTCTTACAGGCCACCGTGCACCACACAGAACACTGGCAGACAAATTGTGCAGTTTGGCGTGATACTCATCAGGTAGGCTATTTGATTTCTCTCACTCTCGTCGTCGTCGGTACTGCATCCGCTTTCGTTTCACAGGGGACGCGGTGGGTTTCTCGAGCTGCTGCCGCCGTTGTTTCAGCTGGACTCCCTGCCAAGAGACCTGCACTTCACTGACTCCGATTGGCCCTGAACCTGGCGGTATTTATTAAACCAAAGGGGGCTTTGATCAGCACACATTAAACCAGCACTGAATTACACTGAGGAGCCAGAGAGCTTGACCCAGCCTGTGGTCAGAGGGTGACCAAAGATAGATCATAACCCTGGTGACAGGATGAAATAGCGGCAGCATAGGTTTTAACTGTACTTAAGGCTAAATTCCTGTCCACTAGCAGCTGATTAAAAGCATGCAAGGCAGGGGACAAGCAGTTGGGTCAAGGCTCTGTTCCACACACCAATGCTAAAAAAACTGTCTTAGATGCTGGTAGATTGACCTAGAGTTTGGAATGTTTTGTCAAACTACTATACCCAAGGTCAAGAACATTGATGATTATTAGGACAGATTTTGACACATACTGTTCTGTAACGTAATGTATAATTGTTACAACTCTCCTCTGTTTACCTTTTGTTCTCTACGTTTTTTCCCTGCCCTTTTGTCTGTCTGTCTGTCTCTCCCTGTGAGTTTGTTTGGTTGCAGGTGGGCGTGGCTCTCCTCCCTGAGCTCCTGCATCCTGTTCTCCACACACCTGCATCTCATTTTTCCCGTGATCTCCTAACCCTAGTGTGTGTTTCTCCTCCGTCTCTCAGACTCTCTGGACCTGCCTGCCCACCTGCTCACCACTCCAGCCAAGCCACCTGCTCAGTTTTCCCGTCTGGATCTGGATCATTCCCCTTACCCTCTGAAAACTGTAGCCGTGTTTCCCAATAAAGTCCCCTTGCTCTGTGAACTATTTTTGCGGTCTCTGTCATGCTTGTGAGTCCAGTTTACGTGCGCATAACAATAATATTGCAAAGAGGTCGGTCTATACCTGCTTGATATGAAAAGTGCAATTAATTCATTCTTTCAAATGAAATGTAATAGAATTAATTAAGATAAATGCACTTAGTTAGCGTGTCACCTATAGTCCGTATTTGTGTGAGAGAAGCTATGTAAGCTGGGAGTGTGCAACACTGCATACTTTGCCTGGCAATCTGACAGTT